AACTCGGGGAACCAGCAGTTAGCGTAATGGCTATGTCGCTGGATTCCCACGTAGTCGACCGCGGTTCGTGTCCCGGACCCGGTGGCTTAAAACTCACACCGGGCGCGTGTGCGTGCGTGCCCAAGATCCCGAGAGGAGAATGGAGGAGAAGGGATTGTAGCATGACCATCCCCCCTGGGGGGTGATTTCTCGCTTTCTGTCTCTATGTCTCTCTCTGTCTGTCTGGTGAGCGCACACGCCCTACAGTGAAAATCTCTCAAAACAAAACAAAACAAAACAAACAAAAAAAAAATCCCTCAGATTCCAAGTCCAAGGAGAAATGGCTGAAATTATTTGTAATGTCCCCTCTAGAAATTGAAAATAAAATCGAGATCCCTGTGTTAGTAACTGAGGAACGCATGATGGAGGTGTCCAGAGTAGAACGTGTTTGCTGGAGGAGCGTGGTCAGGACCTCTTGCCTGAGCACTGAGCTCCCCTCTCTCGGGGTTGGGGTGGCTGCGGTCTGCCCAGCTGAGTTCCTTCTTCCTCCCTCACTTCTGCTGCATCCTGGTACCTGTGTCTACAGGTCGAGGCTTCCAGAAGGACCCTGTCCTGCCTGGACTGTCTAATAGCAAGTGCGCTGCTGTCAGTATAAGATCAGAGGTCGTTTTGGGGGTCAGCCTGTTTTGATCAAAAAGCTAGAAATATTGCCAAGCATCACTGTGGTCGTATTCTCAGATCAGTTTGCTTATAACTTTTCGATGAAAAGTTGTGCTGGGAGTCCTTTTGGTAGGGCTGCCTCTTGCTGTTCCTTCCTCTACATTTTCTGGACGAGGTCCTAAAGGGCGCAGTTGGGAGTCTCTGCCACAGAGGGTTCTGGAGGCCGTGGCTTGTGTGGATTGACAGTTGACTGCTGAGCTCAGGATATACCATGGGAAGAAGCAGCTCCCAAGTTGAGAATAAAACCTCAAAGAGTGGGCATGCTGCGAGTGGCCTGCTGAGTCGTAATGATGTGGAGTACTATTCGATGAGCCCCTAAGCTCAGTAGTACGTGATGTTCTAAGCAGCCAGCTGCTGGACGTCTTCAGGAGTGGCTCCCCATTGTGGGGGTGTCTGTGCTTGGGGGGCTGGCCAGGTGGAGTGAGAGGAAAGGTTTGGACATAACACGAGCCTTTCCACAGCCCACACTAGGTCACACCTCTTCACTCTCCGTGGAGTTGTTTGGCTCCTCCGAGGATAGAGAGCCTTTGGAGCTGGGGCCGGATGGGGGGCTTTGGGTGGTAAATCTCTTTGGCTTCGTGAACCATCGAGTCTCTGTTGAAACTGCTGACCTGGGTGGTTGAATCACAAAAGCAGCCAGAGACAACGTGACTGGATGTGGCTGTGTTCCAGGAGGCTGCGTGTACAGAAAGAGTGGGGTGCTGACCCTCTGCTGACCCTGCACTGGAAAGCTGGTGGAACCCCAGGTGTTACCTTCTTGCTTTGTCACTTGTTAGTTGTATGACCTTGAGCAGAGACAGTCCCTGAACCCGCGTCCTTTTATGAGAGCTGATGATGTTATTGGGGGTGCCGAGAGAAGCTGATGGGGGCAGCACCTGGCTACCTGCCTGATAGGTGTGCACGCCCAGTACAGCTCGAATCTGAATTTATATTATAACTGAAGCATTTATGTCTGTTTATTAGTTTGTTAGCTAAATAACTTATTTTATCCTGATTTTTGGTTCATATGGTATGAAATCATCTCAGCTTAAGAGTAACTATTGCCAATACTCTCCTTGTAAACAGATCTTTTTCTTTTCTTTTTTTTTTTTTTTTGAGAGGATTTTGCTATAGTGCATGTGTGCTTGCCAGACAGAGAGAGAGAGACAGAAAGCGAGAAATCACCCCCCAGGGGGGATGGTCATGCTGCAATCCCTTCTCCTCCATTCTCTCGGGATCTTGGGCACGCACGCATACATGCCTGGCGTGAGTTTTAAGCCACCAGGTCCGGGACGCGAACCGCGGTCAACTTCATGGGAGCTCAGCGACATAGCCATTATACTAAGTGCTGGTTCCCTGTCCTTGTAAACAGATCTTAAGAATCATTTTTCAGGCCACTGTGTCTGTGTCAGAAGCCCCTGACTGTAGTTGGGGTTTGTGGGTGGCTTCCAGGGATCCTGAGGGTAGGAGATGCAGTGAATCCACACAGCCAATTGCACAGCCCGAGGCTGCCACTCCTTTCACG